TGGTTTTTAGATGTATGAAATTGTAAAAAAAAAAAAAAAAAAAAAAAAAAAACTGAAAAAACAAAAACGGTTAACCTCCAATGCTTTTTCTTCCTCAGAAAGCTACTGGAGAATGCACTCTAAGAAAATGAGGCAGGGTAAATCAAGAGAGAAAGATGTGAATAAAGGAAATGGGCTTCGGTGTTAAAAAGACTGGGAAAGGAAATCCCCAGGATGACAAAGGAGGAGGTGTTGAAGAGCCAACCTTTCAGAGCAGATCAAAAGCTAATGAAAGATTCCCAACCACCACTACCACTCAAAAGAAAATCAGTAATCATCCTGTGTTTGAACATATCAAAAAACAAGATTTTTAGGTAAGTCTGAGAACAAATCAGTGCTATTAGCAAACTTCTGTATGGCATGCACAGGGAAAACTAAGCAAAAAAATTTCATAATAAAAATTATTAATTTTTGTTGAAAAGAAAGTCTATTCCAGCAGGGAACCAACAATACACTTCTATATTTCAGCTATGTATAGTGTTTATTATCGTTAATTACTGTAAATGCTAAAATGTTAGCTATTTTGGATAACACCACATCAAGAAAATGAAGGGACAGGAAGTCTGAGTATATGCAGTTGAGGGTGGTACAAGAAAGCTAAATCCTTATACACCATAGCAGCAAGTCAATTTTTAAAAATGCTGGAAGGTCAAGAAGGAACATATTAGGTTACTTAGCTACAGGATTAATCGCAAAACAACAAAAGAAACAGCTAAATTCCAGAGCAGAAGAGTGAAGCAGTCAGTTGAGCAGAAAACTGCTCTAAGATCTGTGCATTTATAACTCTGACATAAATAAAAAGTAAGTAAGGGCTGGGATGTAGCTCAGTGGTAGAACACTAAGCTTAGCATGCACAAAGCTCTGGGTTCCATCTCCGGCACCATTAAAAAAAAAAAAACAAAAAACCACAACAAAAATACTAACTAGGCTGGTGGAGTGGCTTAAGTGGTAGAGTACCTGCCTAGCAAGTGTGAAGCCCTGAGTTCAAACCACTGCACTACCTAAACATAAAATAAAACACTAAAATGTAAAAATAAACTGGGTATAGTGGCACACACCTATAATCCCAACACTAAGAGGCTAAATCAGGAGGATAGAGAGTTTGATTCCAATCTGGGCTACATAGCAAGGCGATGCCTTAAAAAAAAAGTAAAAATAAAGGCGATAAAATGTGATTATAGGGCTAGAGGAGTAACTAGGTGTGGTGTGCTTAGCATGTACGAGGACCTGGTTCAATCCTTAGGAACAAAAAAAAAAAGTGATTACAAAATGTGTTAAAAAGAGGATCCTGAGCTCAGGGAAGACTAACTTAAATTGGAGGAGGGAGAGGAGCAAAGAGCTAGCATGGGGCTAGCAAGAAGAGGGCATTCCAGGTAAAGGAAGGAGGGGTGGCCTCTAGGTGGGAGGGTGATGCACACTAGGAAATGAAACAAGTTTGGTGGGTACCAAATATATATGGAAAACTGTTCTGAGTGCTATAAAGTAAACAAAGAAAGAAAGGGATTCTCAGAGGGAAGGAGATTAAGAGAACAATTCAGCAGTCCACAGACACTGAGCACACTAACTAGGAAGGCTATGGCACACAGTGGTTTTTGTTTTGTTTCTGTGTTTTTGGTGGTATCAGGGTTTGAACTCAGGGCCTCATGCTTGCTAGGCAGACACGCTACCACTTGAGCCACTCCACCAGCCCTTATTTGTGTTAAGTATTTTTGAGATAGGGTCTCATGAACTATTTGTCCAGGCTGGCTTCAAACCTCAATCCTCCTGATCTCTGCCTCCTGAGTAGCTAGGATTACAGGAGTGGGCCACCAGGGCCTGGCTGTATGGCACTTAGTTTTGAAATCCATAGTATTTAAGTAGACAAATAAGCACTTCCTAAATGAAAAATTATTCATAAGGTAAAGACATTTAAAAAAACATTTTGCATACAAATTTTTGAAATAAAAAATATTCTGTAAGCCAGGCATGGTGGTGGCAGCCCTATAATCCTGGCACTCAGAAGGCAGGGAATCACAAATTTGAGATATGTAGCAAGATCCTGTCTCAAAAAGTAAAAAATGCTTTGTACTTTACATATTCCAAGACAAGTATAGTAACATTTTTATAATAATGAAACAGCAAAGAGGAATATTTAAAAATATTTTTCTTAATTATAAAATTTGAAAGTTGTAAGAAATTTGTCAAATACAGAAAAATATAAAGAGTAAGATTTTAGGCTGGGTGCCAGTGGCTCACACCTGTAATCCTAGCTACTTAGAAGGCAGAGATCAGGAGGATCGTGGTTCGAAACCAGAATGGACAAATAGTTCTAAGACCCTATCTTGAAAAAAACCCATCACAAAAATAGGGCTGGTAGAGCGGCTCAAGGAGAAGGCCCTGAGTTCAAGCTGCAGAACCACAAAAAAGAAAAAAAAAAATACGATTTTAAAGCTACCATAATTATATATATTTTTCCACTTAATACATGGTGGAATTTTCCTTCATAACTAAACATTCTTTTACAGTATCAATATAGTATTTGAAAATCAGAATATAGTTTTAAAAAGGGAAAAGTTCATTTCTCAGAAATAGATTTTTAAAAATCTAAACTTCAGGATTAACTAGGGACACCTAGATAAGATTACACCAACCTCTAAGAGGGAAAAAGATCAGTGTTAGAAGGTATACCCTAATAATTGTTGAGACCCCCTTTTAATATAATTACAGATTCTCATTGAACTATTAAGTCTTAAACCTAAAATGGCATTTAGATTACATTAAATCTATCTGAAACATAGAACATAAAAGATATTTTAATCTTCCAAACAAGAGTAGATGCTAAGATAATACACCAAAGATTCCTTGCATGCCAAACACAGTTTGATCTTTTCTCTCCCTCTTCTTGGTCATTTTGACAGGAGCTGAATGGTGACAAGATGGATATAAAGCTCACAACAATCCAATGTCTAAGTGATCACCTCTACTGACTCCATCTGAGAAGAAATTGGACCCACGTGTTCAACAGCATTTATGTCGCCTACCCTGCTATGCATGACTGAGCAAAACTGATTTTAAGCACTCTTTAAAATAACATATCTGAACATGCAAAGTATTGAAAATGATCTATCAACCATCAATCATGTATAAGATCCCTAAGGTGGCAAATAACCTTTAAACCACACTTAAAAGGGCTATTTCAAAAGTAACATGAGATTTTCTAAACTTCTGAAAATGCAACTGCTAACAGAAGTGGATAAGAATACTAGAAATTAAAGAGCCAGCGTCTTCTTTTTGTTGCTGTTGTTATTTGAGATTTGAGATAGGGTCTCACTATGTAGCCCAGGCCTTGAACTCATAATCCTCCTGTTTCAGCCTCCCAAGTGCTAGGACTACAGGTATGCACCACCACTACTAGCTTAACAGACAGTTTCTTTAAAAAATAATTTTAAAAAGAAACCTTTAAAAACCAGTATTTTCTTGCTTTTAAGATCACTGATGGGGGGAGGGACAGGTAGCCCAAACAATGTATACACATATGAATAAATGTAAAAGTGATGAAATAAAAAAGATCATTGATTTTGCTGTGAACCAAAAGTTACTATAAAATAGTTTATTTTAAAATTTGATTAATTTTTCTGATTTCTAAAATACTGTTAACTTTTTGTTTGTTTAAAGTTGACCAGAAGGTGGACTTATAAACAGAATGTTTTTATTTACTCCAAAATTACAAAACAATATTTTGTACTTATCATTGATTCATTCTTTTAAAATATACTATTAAGGAGACAGTTCCCATGTCTGAAACTCCATCTTAAAGTTATCCATCTATACATTAGTGATATCAGTTTAAAAAAATTTAGCAGGGCTAGGGACACAGCTGAGTGGTAGAGCTCTTGCCTAGTATGTATAAGGTCCTGGGTTGAATCCCTAAAATATTAAAAATTTATTTTATATTATATTTTGTTATATTATACATTACATTGTATCTTCATCAAGAAATTTGCTAAATATAATGCTACCTGTAGATCAAAGGTACCAGTTTCTACACAAAAGCAATTATAAAGCTGGAAGGAATGGTCAAAATTAAATGAATCCAACTATTTTATTTCACAAAAGAAAACAAGATTAGGCGAGGTTAATGTGCTTTTTCATTATCACATAGCTACTTACTTTATGACAAAAGTTTGACTAGTACCAATTAAATGTATTAATAGTCCTTTTATGTTCTCCTCAGTTACCCTCTACTTAGATAAGGCCCAAGGTGAACCTTCTAGATAATGAAGTCTGTATTATGAGCTTCAAAACATCTAGTGCTTGCCTAGATGTCCAAGGCCCTGGCTTTGATCCCCAGCACAAGAAAGGAAAGAAGGAAGGAAGGGAGCAAAGGAGGGAGGGAGGGAAGGAAAGAAGAAGGAGAAGAAGGGAGGAAGAGAGACTGACATTAAGAGAAGAAGAGGAGGATGAGGAAACACTGCGTAAGGCAAAATTTTAGATGAAAAGTTTGGATGCCATACACAAAACTCCTAAAGAGAAAACTTCAAAATTCTAAGAATGCTATTGCTAATTTCCTGGTCCATGAAATTTCTTCAAAATTTTATAAAGGCAAGGTAAGTAGGTTTTTAAAGGTACTTTAAAAAGAAAAGGCTAGCCTGTGATGATATGACAAGAAGTGTCTGTTGGCTGAGGCCTGCCCTGTCCTGACCAAGCCCTAGCCTGGGCTCCCCAAAGGCCCGAGCTGTGTCTGTTACCCTTTGTGCCTGGCAGCTCCAATGCCCACAAGTCAATGAATAAAGGTTTCTGAGACCTGATAAAAGAAAAAAAAGAAAAAAAAAGGCTAGTATGATCATTGATAGACAATTTGGAAAAGAAAATTATTTCATAATTTTTCTTAAAATGTATTATTTAAAAAGAAAAAAAGAATACCATACATTTGTCAAAATCTGCAAAACTTTACAGCACAGAGTGAATCTTAATTATGCAAAAGTTAAAAATCCACTTAGCTATCTGGGAGGTCCCAGAATGGTATGCAGAATGTGACAAAACAATGTAAGTGAATTATAAATTAGGAAACCACCTCACTCAAGAGGGTGGAAGAAAAGATGCTGACCTAAGTAACTCTGGAAATGAGTTGTCTGTAACTGTATACACAGCATGAACTCTGTGAAGTCTCTCACTTGTACATGGATTAACAATTCTGATACCACTACACAACCATATAAGAATTGAAGAATTAAGTTAAAAAATGCCATATGGTGGGAGCCAAATTTCTCACTATTGGAATACGAGTTTACAGATGAGGGGAGCAGGCTAAAGTGATCCATGTGGTAATGGATTAGACTTGTAGACATTAGCATTATCTTCAGATAGATGATTACATATAGAAATAGTTATGGGACTGGAATGTAGTTCAGTGGTAAAAGACATACTTAACATACGTGAGGTCCTGGGTTCAATATCCAACACTAAAAAAAGAAAGATAGATTAATGAACTTATAGATGTTATACCCACAGGATAACACATGCACATAGATTTCCTTGCTTCATTGTTTCAGAAGGTCTACAAACAACAACACCCCAGTAACAAGGAATACGGATCAGATTTCTAGTATTATTCTTTAATAAAAGTAAACTAAGGCTCCTTTGGAGAAACTACTGATTTGAGAATTATGTGAAAAATACACAATGACTACTGGCACTGAAAAATACAGAAGTACTTTAAAAAAAAAAGTGCACAATGATGGAGGTCTGTCAAAGGGTCACAACTGAGAGTTCCCACTGGCCAAAGCTAGAAGAATTTGAGCAACAAAATAAAGTGGTATTGAATTATGACCCCAAAAAATTATGCATTTATGTTAACATAATGGCTGAATAAATTAATGGAGAAGAGACAAATAATTAATGCAAATACTCCTCCTTCAATGTTAACTCCCCATTCCTTACGCGTGGATTGTACATAGTCACTTTGTCCTCCCAAGCAGTACAGCATGTTTTTACAGAAGAGAAACCTGACAAACACTACTTGAGCCAGGTGATCAAGGTCAACGTCAACAGCAGTAACTCATGTTGACAGTACACATTCTTGATACGATGTGATGAGATTGGCACTTTACCTCTGTGGTCTTCCTCTCAAAACCCAATCTAATAATGAGAAAACATCAAACAAATTTCAACTAAGGTATGTTCTATAAGGATCTGACCAGTAGTACTCAAAACTGTCAAGATCATCAAACATAAAGAAAGTTTGAGAAACGGTCACAAGCACAAGTTATAGTAACTAGATATAATGTGGTATCTTAGATGGGATATTAGAACAGAAAAGAACATTAGGCAAAAACTGAGAATGTCTGAATAAGATATGACTTTAATAATATATTTAATCAATATATTAAAAATACATTTAATATATCAATATATCAACATATAATTAATAGTATATCAATATAATATGAAAAATTTACCATATGAATGTAAAATGTTAATAGGGGACACTAGGTGGAGGGTGCATAGAAACTCTGTACTGTTTCTCAATGTTTCTGTAAATTTTAAAATGTTCCAAAAAGTGCATTTGAAAATATGAAAAGAGGCTGGAGGTATAGCTCACTGGTAGAGTGAATGCTTAGCATGGCCAAGGCCCTGGGTTCAGTCCCAGAAAGAAACAAATAAATAAATACTTGATTTCAAGAGAAAGGTAAGAAAGTCTAAAGTATGAATGCCAAACTTAAGCAGTTAAACCTGTAGGCAGAGACTAGAAGGAAAAGGGAAATCGAGTTTTCCTTTAGAAAATTACTGCTTGAGTCTAGCACACAAAGAATGTATCTATGTACTATTGTGCAACATGAAATGTTTAATCTTAATGCCACAGTAAGCGATGAAAAAAAAATCATTACTAAACAGAAGCCAATCCCTGAGCCATTGTATTTCTATGCATAAACTGTCTAATCTCCAGAAAAAATTCCAAATTCCGTCGTTTCTGATTAGAGTAATGACTAATTGATATCACTACCATTTATTAATTTAAAAGCAATGGCAGAAAAGCTGTCAAAGATTATGCTGAATTACCAGGGGGAATATGAAATTAATACATTATATATGTGGAAGGAACTGCTATAATCAATAGGAAATGTTCCACTAGAAATATTTAAACTTGACCAGTAATGCTAGATTTGAGACTTTTAATATAAATTATGTTATTCAGAAAACTGAGGCAGCCTAATTACAACAGCAGGATGAGCTGAATGATGTTTAATTACACTTGTTTTATTACCATGCTTGAAGTTAACAATGTATGTTGTACTTCCACATAAGTCAGTTACTAGAAGCAATTACAACTGAAGTTTGTGAAGTCCAATACATTTGATACATGACGTTTACTAATTGCCTACCTTATTGGCAACAATGACTTGAGAAAAAAAGGTAAGACCCACAACTTGATTTTCAGCATAACTCTGTAATTAAAGTAAATTAGTATACTTAATGACATTGTCCACTACTACAGGAATATGGTTCTTGCTAAGCAGTTGTACTTACACAAAGAAAACATGAACAAACCAAAGGCTCACATTAAAAGCCCTTAGAACAAATAAATCCGAGGATGTCACTTGAATCTCTTCAAGCCTTCTTTTTTTTCTTAAAAAAAAAAAAAAAAAGGATTTATCTTATAACATAACATAATTTCATGTAAAGTAATGTACTAATTGATGTCTGGGATAAACTAATTTGTAGCTATGTATAGGAGTACTGTTGGGTTAAGCAGGACTCCATTGGGTCTTGGTTTCTACCCAAACCAGGAAGTTCTACCCTGCTTCTAGGGCACAGTTAGAATAATTAAGCCAAATGAATCTTGCTATGGTTCTTGCTAAGCAGTTGTACTTACACAAAGAAAACATGAACAAACCAAAGGCTCACATTAAAAGCCCTTAGAACAAATAAATCCGAGGATGTCACTTGAATCTCTTCAAGCCTTCTTTTTTTTCTTAAAAAAAAAAAAAAAAAAGGATTTATCTTATAACATAACATAATTTCATGTAAAGTAATGTACTAATTGATGTCTGGGATAAACTAATTTGTAGCTATGTATAGGAGTACTGTTGGGTTAAGCAGGACTCCATTGGGTCTTGGTTTCTACCCAAACCAGGAAGTTCTACCCTGCTTCTAGGGCACAGTTAGAATAATTAAGCCAAATGAATCTACCCTAACAAATGGTCACAAGGAGAATCAGGCAAGAAAATAAGAATGGGTCATAAGAATATACCATGAAGGCAGCTTGCCAGCCATGAGTCAAATCAAATACAAACAACAGTTACAGATCTATGGCTCCTGACATTCATAAATCCTGCTTCCATATTCCTAATGGATTACAAAAGAGCTCTCACAATATAATGCTTAAAATATCACACCAGAGTCTCTGCTCCCATTTCCTGCATGGGGAACAGGAAATGCTTCTCTTTTCTTTCCACTGTTCCTCTCCTAATAAACTTTACTGTTACTTTTACTAAATCTTTGCATCTTGCTTAAATTCTTCTGCCGGACACAAGAACTGAGGTAATTTTCAGTAATTTTTTCTGTGAACAGAAACGTCACAATGAAATCCCCTGTACAACTATCATATACTAATAAAAATGTTTTTAAAAAAGGAAAAAAAAAATATCACACCAATCTTTATGTTTTAGATATTTCACACAGAAATATTTATAAATGAAATACTATGATTTCTTGATTGGCTTCAAAATATGGTGGGGAGTCTCAATGAAACAGGAATTCATTGATAATTGCTGAATCTGAGAGATAGGTTCATAGGTTTACTACACTACCCTATATTTCATATGGGTTTGAAATTTCCATAGTAAAAAGTTGGAAATATAAATATCAGTAAGAAATAATTCTAATGCCAGGTACAAGGGCATGACTATACTCCCAGCTACTAGAAGGCTGAGCTGGGAAGATTAAAAGTTTAAGACCAGCCTAGGCAACACAGAAAGTAAAATCCCCATCTCAAAATAATAATAATTCTACTTCTACAACTTAACAAAACAAAAAAAGACTTGACTAGACAATTCACCAAAGAAGACAAACAAATGGCCAGTACAATGGAAAGATGCTCAACACTGCTAATCTAATGAAAAATGGAAATCAAGTCTACAAGGAGATACCACTACACACCCATTAGATGGCCACTATCAAAACACCAGACCAGTGCTGGGGATATGACTCAATGGTATAGTCTTCCTAGCATGCACAAACATGTACATATATATTATATTTTTTATATATAATATATATATGTATTTGTTGTTTTGTTTTGTGACAGGGTCTTACCATGTGGTCCAGCCTGGCCTTGAATTCACAATCCTGCTGCCTCAGCTTCCCAAGGGCTGGGATTACAGATGTGCATCACCACACCTGGCTTCAGTATCTTTTATGGAAGTTGTTTTTGATCACTGACCAACTAGGCCACAAATACAGCAAATAACTTTAAGAATCTTGGCATAACATTGTAAGAAGCATTCCATAACACAACCATGACTTCTAAAACTAAAAAATACACCAAAATATTCCCACATGGACACTATTTTGCCCTTTCTTCATGTCATGACTTCATGTAATTCTTTAATATGGGTATGGTTTGACCTGTTGAGATGTGAAATGTTTCCCTGTCAAAATTTTCTTCCACAATCCTCAGTGTACTTACCCAAAAGGCATCATTCCCAAATCTGCTGTCACCAGACTGCAATACAAACTCACCAGTGATGCTTAGAAATGGGAAATGGACAACTTCTTTAGCAGGCAATGAGTCCAAAATCAAATGGTCTGCAGTTTTTCAACCTATATGGCAGCACCACCCACTTATATTGGATTCAAATTCAACTAACTCAAAACACCAGGCACACTGAGCATTGGTGGCTCACACCTGTAATCCTAGCTACTCAGGAAACAGATATCAGGAGCTTCTCAGTTCAAAGCCAGCCTAGGCAAATAGTTCCTGAGACCCTATCTTGAAAATATCCAACATAATAAAAGGGCTGGTGGAGTGGCTCAAGAGTTAAGAGCGCCTGCCCAGCAAGCATGAAGCCCTGAGTTTAAACCCTAGTACAACCAAAAAAAAAAAAAAAAAAAAAAAATCTGGCATGAAGTGGCAAAATTCATGATAGGGAAAAGATCTAATGCAGAGAGGCAAAAAGGGTTGGGAATGGATAACAGTAATTAATGTCCTCTGAGTGCTACACGAAACAGTTTTCTCAGCACTGGGTATGGGTCCACCTAAACCTGTCTGAAACAGTGCTTCCATATGTTTGTTTACACACCCTCAGTATCAAAGATGCAAAAAAAGGAAAAAAATTAAAGAAAATCATGATACAAGAAAACTGTAAGCCCAGCCTTCCTATCAAGTGGGTCACTGTGCTTAGTTAAAGTTGTGCACACCAATAAAAAACCATAAAGGCAAACAAAACTACGTTTGCATTTCAGAATGAAGCATACAACGTTCTGTTACATTTACCTGGCTGGAAGACCACCTCAATTTGATTAACTAGATCAAAGAGAAGTCAGAATAGCCTTTTGAGATGACCAAAGAGTATCATGCTCCTACTGAGTTGCATGGACAATTCACTAACATTTTATAACTCAAAACTTACGTATTTCTCTGACTAAATGTTGTCACACCTAGAAATTTATAAAAGAAATAGTTGAAGATGTATTTAAAAGAAACTGCGGTCAATGAAAAAAGTTACAAACATTCTTAGTAACCACCAATGGGCAACTGAGTAAATTAAATTATGGCTCAGTCATATAATTCCATGCCATACAGACATTAAAAATATCTGATACAGGGGCAGGGATGTAGCTCGGTGGTACAGTGTTTGTCTAGTACACTCAAGGCTCTGAGTTCTAGCTCCAGCACCACACTGGGAAAAAAAAAAAAGGATACAGAAGTATAATCAAAATATAATTATGCGAAAAAGCACGGATAGACTACAAACCCAACTGTACATATATGTGTGCAGGAATACACATGTAAATTTGCGAATGCAAATGCCTGAGCACATGATACACTGGACACATGTGCAAAAGTGTATGCAAGTATGATCAGGAGCCCATGGAGTTGCATGAGGGTATAAAGATGTGCTTGTATACATACGCATTAATGCATAAAACACACATGCACACACATACGGCATATGGCCTATAACTGGACCCTGAGCCTGTTTTAGGTGAGTGTGTGTAAATCCTTGCAATCACAACTTAGGAGCTTTGCCACCTTGAACAAGTTCCTGAGCCTGTTTGAGACTTGATTTTTCCTCTATACAACTAGAACAAACCATCACTCACAACGGTTTAACAAGGATTAAATGAAAAAGGTGGATGTAAACCACTTAGTGCTGTGATTGGTGCACAGTAAATCAGTATTAGTGGCCCTTATCTTTATCTGTGTATACTGATCTGTTTGTGTATATTTACCTAGCCACAAGTCCACAAGAATACACATTAAATAGTGACGTTAGTTATTTATGGGCAATAGATTTTTGCTTGGGGAGGTTTTTATGACTTTCTTATTCAATAATTTTTCTAGGAAGAGTATTTTTTTCATGACTTTATCGACGATTTCCCCAAAACAATTATTTTTAAAACAATGAAATAAAGATGGCCCATTCCTGACACGCCTCAATTCTGCATAATTAAAAGCTATTAAGCACTACCCCAAGGAATGCATAATTTTGATTCTCCAACAAATTTCCTGTATTCTAGCAGTCTTTCAGCTTTACCCAATAGCTCAAGAAGATGGCAGTACAAAGAAAAACCACAGCTCTTTTACTTGTTTGTCTATCCAAGTCAGGATGAAAATGAATGAATCCGATGACACTATAGGGTACAGGTGATATGCAAACACGCTGGTGACATTAAGTGACATCTGTGATTCAAATTTTATTAAAGGAAAGAACCCAGCGTCTTGCCCAAGGTCATACCGAAAAATCATGTACTAACCCCTAGGATGTGAGGAGGTGTTAGGATCAGACTGCACTGCCATAATTTTGGGTGTGTTTATGAAACCAAGAAGCTAAATTCTTAACTAGTCATTCCGGGAGTCCGAGCTGGAGGCGGGGGCGGGAGGAGGGAGCGCGCATGACAACACCAGGCGGAAGGCAGCAAAACAAACCAGTAAGTGACCGCGCCAGGGTTAATCTGCACGTCCCGATCTGATCGTGCAAAATACAGAAAACGCAGATGACCGAAGTCACGACGTTTGATTTCACGGACGCCAAGACTGACATCTGTGTGCAAATTATACCAAAAACATTCGAAACAAAACACCATCGACCCCAGTTACTACCTGGCTCAATTCCCACAATTACGATGTGTTAGATTAATGCCTCTTTAAAAAAAGAAAGAAAAGAAAAGAAAGCACTGCAGAAGGTCTCTAAATTCCGGAGGAAAGCTAGTTACAGACGGGGAGCAAAACCTGGGCCCTTTTCCCTGGGGCCTCCATTTACAAATCACACCCGAGATAATAACGCAACCCTGCCCTATACATTTCCTCCCTAGATACGTATTAAACCTCTTCAAAGGTCACTTCCAAGCGAGTGGCGGCCACCCGGACCCCCGCCCTGTGGCTTCCCCGAAGCTCTACATTTGGGAGCATCACCTCTCCCATCTGCTGCGGACTGCGGGCTGGTCCCGCTCCATTTTTGACTTTCGTCTTAAAATCGAGGGGGATGGGTGCGGAGAGCCCCCAGGAGGCCCTGAAACCCTGAGTAATCGCATCTCGCTGCGGGGGAGCGATCGGCCGCAGGACCAGCGCTCTTCATCTTTTCTCTCCACCCCGTGTCCCTTTCCATTTCATTTTTTCCCCTTTTCTGTATTTCCGATGACATCAAACCAAGGGTTGAAAAAAGAAAGATGAAGGTCCCCCGGTCGCTGCCGCCCGACTCGGGGACCGCCCCTCCCCACTCTCTTCCCAGTCCTGGCAATGGCG